AAAAGAATTTCAATATGAACTTGTAATGATTTTCTATACGGTGTACCTGTAAAATAACATGTGAATTAAATCGATGTCACCCATGTAAAATTTATCATTATCCTGGAAAACATTAAATGACACCTAATTTTTGGTATACACTAAAAGTTGACAAAAAGTCGTTCGCGATGCGGCAGGGTAAGTATGCATGAAATGGCATGAAATTTTGCACAGGTGTTTGTTACAGCCATACAAATGATGCCTGAAAAGTGCAGCCTTCAACTCAAATAAAAGTGTTTTTTCCCTGCCCCCTAATATACGGTATTGTACAGTATATGAAGGGTACGGGTATTAATAAGCATGGATTATTACAGTACAATATCTTACTAAATAATGAATAACAAATAAACAATATCATGAATGAGAAAATGATTGAGAGGCAGGAGTCAGTGACAAGCACTGGGTAACAGGTGATCCTTTGTGGGTGGCGGTGGGTTCCACATGGTCAGTTTCTCCCTCCCTCTCCACTGAGTCACACCACCACCTCCCTTACCCTAGCAAAAAGTGTAATGTATAAACTTTTATTCACAACATCTGTTCTAATTGTGTTAGAGATGAATTTGATACCCTAATGATCCTGAATAAATTATCTACGAGATGTTTCCAACAGGATATCCTTTAACAAAATATTTTGGCACAATATTATGATGGGAACTCCATTCTTTTATATGCCCTGTATATAATAAACAAAACAAAAATACGAAAGAAATGATGAGACCAGTCTATAAAATCTGTTCTAATAAAGTTACACACCATTTTTTTTACACAAATAATCCTGAATAGTTTATCTATTTGGTTTAATAATATTTATAAAAAGAAAAAAAATCAATGTGATACAGGCATGAAAGGAGCTGTATATTACAGCAAAGACAGTGGAATTCTCCACTCTTTACAGAAAAATTATCCTGAATCTAAATGACATATCTTGCATGGAGCTGTAAATGCTCCATTTGATCCTCCTGAACATGAATTAGTGGCCCTGGATGGTAAAATGTTTACTTTGAACTTGCCAAAAAACACTACAGCATTAATCCAGCGAATGGACCAATGTCCAATTTAGTCATTTAAGCAGAAAAGACAATGGAAGCACTAAAAAGAATGATCTTTATAAGAAATTTACTCTGTATGATGCAATATATGATTAAGCAGCAGCTGGGAATCAAATTCAGTTAACAACTTCAGTCACAGTTTTGGTTAATATTTGGCCTCAATACAAAACCAACAAGGGTTTGGGCAGCAGTGAAGAACAACATGCTGTCTGCCATGTGCCACCAGAGACTAAATCTATCAACTAAGGCAGCAATCAGCAAATGTTGAGGAAGATGATTTTGATGACTGGCTTATGATTGATAGTGATGACTGTGGCTACCCTATACTGACTATTGTAGCAAGAACAACAGAAGAAGACTCCTCCCAGTCTGAAGTTGAACTGGAGGAGGAGCTTACTATCCCCATGGTGACAAACAAGGAAGCATCTGATGTGGTCTCAAAACTTATGTAGTGGCTTCAATAACATGATTCTACTACAACAGCACAGTTGTGGAGTATCACACAGCTACAGCAAGATATTGAAAAGCCTGTAGCACTGAAATAAGGCAGTCAACAATTCTAGAGTGCTGGGGGAAAATGTCTTCCAAATCTAAGGATGACCATTCAACATCACCCTCAGGAGATCCCATAGAAAATCAGAAAATCTCCCAACCTCATCTAGTCATCATTTGAACTTCAGAATACAGGGTATTACCCAAGTATTTCAGTTTCTTTAGGTGAACAAGGAAATGCATAATTGTAAGTATGAAACAATAAAGATTTGTTGTACATTAAGATTTAGCTTTTTAGTAAATTCTCATATATTTTTAATGGTTATTCTGCTAATCCATGACTTTTGGAAATTTGGCCATGGCGGGATACCAATTAGCACGAATTTGAGAGGTGAGGGTACATGTGGATAGCCCTGAGGATAGCAGTCACTCTCTCTGATTGTGGCTACAGCAGAGAGCCAAGGATATGCTCACTGGGCTTGCTGTCATCACCATAAATCAAGCTGTTGGGCATCGAGTCATGCGATGACATCATTGACAACTTTACAACAAAGAAAGGCAGGCAACAAAAATTCTAGATTTTAGAAATACTAATGACATGTTACTGAATTTGTTTAAAACACCTACTACAGTAGGGTCGGGATATATCGCGACTTTTTATAAAGATTTTTTAATATCGTGGCTACCAAAATTATCGACATTTTCCAATATATAGCCATAAATTTATTTATTTCGCGAGGGAAATCGGGCAGGAAATATTTTAAATGTACCGCCATGGCAAACAAATGCGTTATTTGCTCACCAGAGGCGCCACCGTGGCTGCTCACCCATGCATTCGCGCTAGCCCGCTCAGTCTTTCCGAGTGAGTGACGAGTAAGCAGTCGACTCTGCAGCAGATTACAACTTCTAAAGCAAGTGTAGAGTTGCTAGTGACGTGAAAAGTGCAGTGAAGAGAATGGAAAGCTTAATGGAAAAGATATACTGTAATACTGTAACAAATGTAGGATTGTCAAGTGAGGGTGGCAGTGTGGAATCTGCTGCCGAGTCTGGTGTTCCCGGGATGGTGCGTCAGCTGCCGAGTCTGGTGTTCCCGGGATGGTGCGTCAGCTGCCGAGTCTGGTGTTCCTTGATATTGATACAGCCTGTTGTTCCCGAGTCTAGTGTTCATTGGTGCTTTAGTTAGTAAGAAAATAAACTCAAGTCAAGTTTAGTCACTTTTATTGGCCTCCAGAACCTAACCCTATTTTTCCCATTGATTACATGTACAGTCAACCCTCACTTTATGCGGTCCCACATTCCGCGTTACGCGGTGCCCTGCCGGAACCCAGGATGCTCACATTCCGCGGTGCGTGTACCCCTTTACACGGTGAAGTATAATTTTTTTATTTAGCTCATAAAATTCATACAAATTATCCGGCCAGAATATAATTTACATTGCTGGAATTCTTACAATTTGATGATCATTTTGAATATAAACATCATAGATTTTGCATTAGACATAAAAATTTTAGATCTAATGTTTACTCTGAGTAAATATGTTATCTTTTGTGCAAAATATATGACATTTATATTCAAAATATTCCTGGTCTTACAAGGAATCCAGCAATGTCAATTATATTATCCTAACTTTAGTCTGAGGTATTATTTATTACTAAAAAGGTAAACATTCTGGTTTTCCCACACATTTATCTGGTAGGGAGGGAGGGACCGACCGACCATCTGGCATGGTGTGAAAAATATTTTTTTTTTTATTAACTGAAGATATTTGTTTTAGCTCATAAAATTCATACAAATTACCCGGCCAGAATATAATTTACATTGCTGGAATTCTTACAATTTGATGATCATTTTGAATATAAACATCATAGATTTTGCATTAGACATACAAATTTTAGATCTAATGTTTACTCTGAGTAAATATGTTATCTTTTGTGCAAAATATATGACATTTATATTCAAAATATTCCTGGTCTTTCAAGGAATCCAGCAATGTCAATTATATTATCCTAACTTTAGTTTGAGGTATTATTTATTACTATACCTTAAAATCTAGTGGTTTTCCCCCCCAAAATTTCTCAGAGTGGGAAGAGCCAGCGAGTGTAGTGTGAGAAGAGGGGGAGGGAGTTGAGTCCATTATTTGAATGGACATTAACTTGGCGACTGTATTTCTCTATTTCTCTTAAGTATTAATTGTGTGCATGTACCATCATAAAATTAAGATGTTATTTTTACTAGAACATAGGTATTGTGTCGGAAAAAGTGGAGTTTGGGGGGTCAGCCGGTCTCTATTTCATTTAATCCCATATGTTATGTTATTCACTTTATGCGTTTCTCACTTTCCGCGGTACCCTGTGGGTTACATTAATCGGGTAAAGTGAGACCCAACTGTAATTATATATCGCGATTTAGTACATAGTGAGCATCGTTGGACCCTATCTCGCGATATATCTAGATACTACTGAACAGTATATTTAATTTTATTGATAATTGATTCATCTATTTCATAACTAACATAAAATGGATGTAATGTCATAATGAATAAATATGAATGGTGAAATCTAAGCAGTGGATTAAAAAATCTCATGAATGAATGCTAACTGCTGAAGTAATAATAAATAGCAACAACAACAAATTGTGAGGACTGATTTGTTTTCCTTGTGTGTGTGTGTGTGTGTGTGTGTGTGTGCGTGTGTGCGTGTGTGTGTGTGTGTGCGTGTGCAATGTGTGTGAGATGTGTGTGTGAGATGTGTGTGTGAGATGTGTGTGTGTGTGTGTGTAGGGGGGCACAAGATCATCTCTGTCATAGGACCCCTAAAAGCATAGGGCCTGCTCTGATGCCCACTTAACATATGGGTTATCAAGAATGTGTTATGTACATCAAGCAGGCAGTGATTGTACAGTGTACATGAATAACACACACTTAACTCCAAAATAAAGCAAAGATGAAGAAAAGTCAGGACAAAATGTGGTATTGTGCCATTATAAATTGATATAAGCACCAGTAAGTTAGTGTTCTTAGTCACCTATTTAAGCATTTTCCTCACTAAATTGCAGAGTGGATGGAATCCATCATTTAATTACAATGCTTACCCCCAGCATATGGTGAATTAGTTCACAGTAAGACAACTTCCTACCTTGAGTACGATGGCAACCCTTGGAGCACCAAGAATTAGCCAACAGATAAGATATAATGAGTATTATTCTAACCCTGAATGTCATGGATTAATACTGAGTAATATATCTTAAAGTTTGAGAATAACAACTTAACTCCTTGAGTACAATGATTCAACTTGACTAGATGCCTTAACACTCTGAATACAATAACTTATTCACTTTTGTACAATGGATATTGTACCCTGAAGGTTAAGTCAGCATTGTTAAGAGATTGACACAAGGATTCAATAACTACTGTATACTGACCTGCAATATAGTAACCCAGCGTGGGAGGCCAAAGTATGTGTGAGACCACTTATGGATCTGTGGAAAAAATTAAACCATTAGAAATTTTGAGTCAATACTCAATTCATATGAAAGTTGAAGTTTCTCCGCTTTTTATTAAATTTCTCACCTATTAAAAAAATTGCATGAACAAAATTACAGATCATTACATATTCACTTGGTACATTAATGTTTAACCTAATATCAACTACTGTAATTGAATTATTATTTCAAGATGACAAAAAAGAGAATGCAAATGATTGAATTTCAGAATCTAAGAATTACAAACATTAGTACAGCAATCAGAAAAGAAAAAAGTGATAAAAGCGATGTTCACCTGGTTAGTTAATGCCACAAATAAGGCCAGAAGGTAGAGATAAGCAAACCAGTAGTAACTGGCCTGAATCTGTTCGTTGGTCTTGGAACAGAAATTCCAAGTCATGTACATCAGGCCTGGGATGGTGAGCATAAAGTTATCTCCATTAATTTCTATGAAGTCATGTCGGGTGATGGAAGTTGGGTCAATGTGGTGCTCTCGGAAAGGACGAATAAAGTTCTGAAAGAGAAAAGTTCCTTTGAAGTTTTAAATTTTGCAACAATAGGTAAACAGACCGAGGAATCCCACTGCTTGATAACTCAAGACTTTTCCAGTGACAAACCAAATAACACCAGTTTTAATCTTTGGGCTACAAAAAGTGTGATGAAAAATGTTAGAAAACCGTATCAAAACCTGCATTGTGGCATCACTGTCTTGAGTGACCCCAATTGTAAGTGATTCTCCATACCATATCTGCTTCCAAACTTTCCATTTATACTTTTAACAAAGAGCCCTGAAAAATTAATTCTAACTTCCAATTCATCTTTTATTTCTATTCAAATTTTTGTTCTTTTATCTATAAATTCATCACTTAACAGCTTACTAGCCATTTGGCCAGTTAATTTGTTCTTTGTTACATTGTTGTCCAGCATCAGTACAGTATAGGAGGGAACCAGAGTAAACTCTGAGAAAACTTGCCATGTTTGGAAGGGTGTAGTGGATGTACCGATGAACCGTTATCAGTCTATTTTTAGTGTATCTGTATCGGCCAATTTTCAGCTGATACTTTCATAATTTTATTTATTAAATTTTTGTCTCTGGCAGCCAAAACTATCTAATTCCATTATCACACATATGGCAGATCTTACCATGTTCTCAAACATATATTAAAAACTACTGTACTATGGTTCAATAAATACATTCTATCTTTGTTCAATGTACAATATTAATACAAGATGTCTCCACTTGTTGGAAGAGCACGAATTCAACATTAGCACGTATATTTGAACAAAATCTATAATTGCAAACTACAGTACTGCCTTGAAGCCCCCAAGCTCCTGTGTTTGATGCAAACAAATGGAACCTCATTGGGAAGCTCTCTTCTATATTGAAAATTTTCCACAAGACCACTGTTCGGTTGAGTGATAGATCATGCACTGTTTCAGAGATAATCCCTCAAATCAAGCTTCTTCAAATCTTCATAGCTATAACATCACCAGATGCTTTGCTTTATGGGTTAGGCAGTATTCTCTCTGCCACCAAAGCATCAATGGGGAACAAATTTCATAGATATTTTGAAGACAACAATCCAATACTGGCAACATATCTTCTTCCAAGATACAAGGATACCCTGTGTTATCGCCGCTGGCTTATAAATGCTGGTGTCAGTTGTTGACAATCGCTGCCTTGATCGAACAAACATTGGATCTCTCAGCACCCCCCCCCCCCACCACGCGGCCTGTTGCCTCGTGAGATGTGGTGGCTGGGGGAGGGGGGGCGGTGTTTACGGATAAAAGTTCCCGATTCTGCTGAATGTAAAGGGTGACGTGGCTCTCATGACACAGATCGCCCTCTCGAGTGATGCTCCCTTCCACGCGACCTGTGACCTCGCCAGATGCGGCACGGAGGCGTTTAGCGCCAGTGTCAGTGCTGGCACCCGGGGAGTGTTATCACCGCTTGCGTCAGTACTGGCAAGTGAGTATTGGCGTGTGAGTGCTGGCGTTTGCTGCCCTACCCGAACAAAGATTGGGTGGTGGGCGGTGTTTACAGAGAAGAGGTCCTGATTCTGCTAAACGAAGGTTTAAAACGGTGGCGTGGCCGCCTGGACTTGAGGAGATCGCTCATCCAGTGATGCTGTGAGGACCAGCCCTCGAGTTATGCTGTAAGGAGCAGCCTTCTGCTCGCACTGCTAACACCACACAATCCTGTCCAAGAATTTGTGCTGAGACAATTTACACAGTACTGTTGTCTCTTGGAACACCATACTGATCTGCATTGACCCGCACTTGTAAGTACAGCATAAGTGAAGAAATACCCCTCGGTACTGAAATATTGTTGACTAATTACGTCTACTGTTTCTGCCTAACTTGGAGTAATAAGACAATGCAGAATGAAGCGAAGCTAAGATTAATAGAGTTATGAACTTTGTGTTATGTCACTATACTCAATAATCAATTATAACAAATTGTGTGAGACTAACTAATTATGTATCAGATAGATCACCATATAATACTAATGAACGCCTTGTTCTCTGCAGGTTTTGACCACATCAATAAATATTGAATGCGTCAACAGGCGGGTTTCAATCATTCCGTTTGACTTGCCCGTCACCTGAACGTCCTTATTCCCAAGGCGTTTATACCCTGTATCGAACTGAAGGTGATGAAACGTCTAAAATGTCAGCTGTCTTGAGAGGAGGAAGAAAGCTATATGAGAACAGGAAGAGTGAGCATACCATTGCACATTTCAGTGAAACTGAAGTTCAGAACCTAGAGAATCTTGTGCAAATTGATGACTTTGATTATGATACAGAAAATGCTTCGACCAGTTAGTGACAGGGGGTGATAGTGGTCATTCAGTCTATAAAACCAAAGACAATTCCAAGGAGTTCTTAAAAGAATAAAAAACATCGTGTAATAACCTTAACTGTCAGAGCTGAAATGGACAGATACCAGACATCAAAATTGCAAGCACGTGATGGAAATCCTTTAGATAAGTGGAAAACCAGTAAGAACATACATCCATCATTAAGTCTCCAAGCAAACAAGCATCTTTGTTCTTCACCATTATCAGTGGAAAGTAAAAGATTATTCAGCATCAGTCATCTTAATGCTGACACTGGTGAAACACTCATGTTTTTAAACTCCAATTTGAGAATTTTCAAATTTGACAATTATGTAACTCAAGTTCTTGTAACTGTTTGTTTGAAACATTTAATTCCAACCTAAACTTTTGTGTTGAAAGGTCTTACTAAGGTTAATATTTAAAAGTTGCCAACACCTGCTTATATATTGAGTCTTATATAGGGAGAAAGAGAAAAAACTAAAATTAGTTTATTCTATAACATTTTTGTCGGAAATGAATATTTTTGTAGTCTTTTAACTGATTAAATTACCCACAATATTAGTTGTTCAAACTGGGCAGGGCTTTGAAGTAGAGGGAAAATGTGGGGTAAAACACTTAAAAAGAACACCAAACAAACCTTTTAAAACCTGACCTAACCTTTCCTAACTTGTAAAAATGTTTAGAATCACTTTTAAGTTTATGGATCCTTCACCATCTGAACACCCAGAATATCACATACTAAACACCAAAACAATGAATAAGGTAAACTTTTTATAGTTTCAGGAATTTTAAAGGTAGGGAAGTGTTAGGTCAAGTTTTATTTTAAATTTTTTTTTATCCCACATGGAAATTTCCCTCTACTTCATAGTCCTACCCACTTTGAGCAACTAATATTGTGGGTAATTTAATTGGTTAAAATACTAAAAAAAATATACCGTACATATCCGACAAAAATGTTATAAGAATATATTATTTTTAGATTTTTTCTCTTCTCCCTCTATAAGACTCAATATTTTTGGAGGTGATGGCAACTTCTAAATATTTACCCCTACTAAATGTACCTGAATATTTTATTATAAGCTTTTCTTCTTCAAATACAGCCACTCCTCGACATACGACGGGGTTAGGGACCCGATTCCAGGTCGTAAGTCGAATTGGTCAGAAGTCGAAAATGTAAAGATAATACTGTACTGTACATAGAAAATCTAAAATGGGTGTCTCTTTTTCTTCTCAGCACCACAAAACTCTCACTTTTAAGCTTGGCAGCCATTTTAAAGGGAATTAAAAATGAAAATTGTCAGTACACAGCGCAATCACTAACGTCGGGACTTGAAAATATGTAATTTGAAAATTTTTTGGTACAACTGGGGCGGTCGTATGTCCTGGCGGTCGTAAGTCGAGGAGTAGTTGTACTGGTAGTGTACTTTATTGTATTCTTCAATAATTAGCTAACATGAAGTTTTTATTACACAGTATGCCTTTCCAGTTCAAATACCACTAGTCTACTATATTGTTTTCCATAATTTGCTAAAATGGAATACGATTAAAAAATATTTGTTATTTTTTCAAACTACAGTACGTACGGTGCATCCTTATGTGAGTTAGTAAGGTTACTGTTTCAGTGTGTCTTTGTTTCTTGGTCCTACAATTATGGTTTTAAAAACTAAAAACTGCTTATGCCTTTAGATTTATATTAACTTCAAAGCTCAGAGCTATAAGTTTGCCTAATTTGACTATAGCAGTTTTTATTTAAATGTCCTGAAAAATTGGAATACAGTATTCATAGTTACATAATTAGTTATAGAGGTTGTACCTCTCTAGTCCGGCAACCTCGGGACCTGACCAGTGCCGGACCATGGAAATTCACCCTTTTCCTGGATAGATAGTGACTTGTGCTTATGCTTGGAAGCACTAGCACCACTTTCTATGCATCATGGTCTCTTTGAAGACATATTGAAGGGTTAAATGTCGTATAGTAGCTTCTCAAATTTCGCGAGTTTTTAATTCAACTTATTTTATTGGAACACACAAAAAAAAATCAATAAAAATTTTGACGGCGGTAACTTGAATTTCGACGGGTTTGAACGGCCCGCCAACGTGCAGACGACGTGCATAATCGTGTAAACAGCGTCATTTCTCTTTTGTACAAAAGATTCATTATTGTTTATTACTGAATGTCTTTTTTATTGAATTAATGTTTATGTGTGCAAAATGAGCAATACAATTCATTAATAATACGTAGAATATTAAAACACACGAGGAAATGACACGGCATTGTTTTCGTTGATTACAAAACCAGTGACTGACTGGTTCTACATATAAAACTGAAGAAAATAAGACCTTGGTTGTAGCTGTAGTAAAATTAATATGGTTGTTTTAAGTAATGTTATTTAATGTAAATAAATGGAACAATAGAAGTAGCTAACGATAATGGTAAAGAAAAAAGAGAGATCGCATATGTAAGTGCGCATGCGCACACGTGAAAACATATCATTACTTTACATAAGAATATGAAAGCAACACTTATTTACTGTTCATATATATTTTAATTAATGTTTCTGAATTTGTTTTTATTGAATTAATGTTTGTGTGTGCAAAATTAACAATACAATCTATTAATAATACGTGGAATATGAAAACACACGATGAGACGAGACGGCTGCCGGCATTGTTTA